TGTTTTTACAAAAGTTGCATGTTATCACTTTTTTCGCAGGCTATTTTAATTATTGTGATCAATTTGCGCCGTCAATCCCGGCGCATGCACGCTTCATTTGCAATCCTGCGGCTCTGACTGCAGCGCTGAGAGGGACTCCTGCGGGAGCGCCGCGGGAGAACAGGGTTGGGATGGGGGAGGCGCCCCACGGCAATGACGACGGTGGCGGATGACGCATTAATCGCGCAACACAAGTAATCGATGATGAAATTCGTTGCCAACGCTTTTAAAACTCGATTTTTATCGATTTTATCGATTTGTTGTTGCAGCCCTAAAACCAGATGTAACATTACAGTAGCAGTCATTCAAAATGGCCGTTCCCAGTCAAAAGCCAGCTGAATGGCAGCGAAATCCCCTCCAACTTCCAGCCACTGGCCTTCTCATCCTCTGCATAGTATTTTACTGTGACTCCACCCTTTCACTGAATTACAGGGTCTGACCAGGAGATGTCGCTTCTCTTTAGATCTTAATGTCCACAAATCTTGACAGAAAAAATATTTTAGGTGTTTAAAAAGGAATTGTAGGAGACCAGCCAAGGTCCAGTCAAGTCAAGTGTGTACATTTTGAATAGCTACTACTGTATTTGTATCATTATGTTTTATGAAATATATTAATTGTAAAGTCCATAACTATATAACTAAATAAACATTATTTAATGATCAAATAAATAATGAAAGTGGAGGTGGTGCCGTTGTTCTGGATAACGCATATTTACAGACAGAGATGGTTTATTCTTTGTGTTGAATTGAAAAGGTTTACCGTATTTTTCGGTCGCAATTTTTCCATGGTTTCGGCTGGCCATGCGACTTATACTCTGGTGAAATATAAACTTATCTTTTCTCTCCACGAGAGGGTGCTATGTAGCTTTGCAAGCAACATGTATTCTATTAATACCCCTGAAAGAAAAAACTGTTACAACTTACCACAATAAAACAAGTTAGCATTACAACTTCGACTGAATATAAATATGCCACCCAAAAGAAATGTATATACTGCTGAATTCAAGCTGAAAGTAATTAAATATGCAGTTGAAAATGGCAATAAGGCAGTTAGCCCTTTTACATGTAGGCCTATAACGGTAGTGAAACGCATGGCCCAATACAGAAGAGCTTCCTCCTCTGGACAAGAATCTGTTGAATGTCTACTCCTTATGGAAAAAGGACATTATTTTGAGGACCGGATGTTCACATTTTGGGTAAAGAAAATAGGTGGTTTGAGAGGGGCCTGAAGGAAGCCATTTATGTTCAAGAAAAACCAACCTTAAACAGTTACAATGCAGCACCCTTCCCGTTATCATTGCAACCCCAGCCGCTGTACAGGAGAGCGGAGGACCTCGTCTATTCAGCCAGTCCGAAAATCCCCTTTAACGACCGACCTTTCAGACACTTAGACAGGTATGGGGCATTAAAGTCTAACAAAAGAAGCAAAATGAGCCCCATTCCAAAGGGGTGGACCCCTTCGTCTGTTCCAATTTGCATGTTTTCAAAACAAAAACAAGGCTTTGTTGGGCTCCTGTATAAAACCTCCAACTCAACGTTATTCCTGACATTTTGAATTGAAAAAGCTTCTTGGATGAGAAGCGAAACGTCTCCGAACTTGGAAACAAAGTCCAGTGGATTGTTTTTAATTGTTTTTGAATGACTATGACCTGGATGACTTTGAAACTTTCGCCAGCAAACTGTAGTGATAGTATTAATGATAGTAGTGGTGATATTCAAAACGACCAGAGTAGGCGAGAGGGCCACTGGCACGTTATAACTCAACGTTTCTATGGGTCATTAAACATAATTAAAAGTCATCACATTGTTATTTTATGAATTAAGGCCTTAAGTAGCATTAAATTTCATTAAATGTAATTATAGTGGCCTTTAAAATGCTTTATTTAAAAAATATATACATTTATGCATAAAACAATTTCGTCAGATATATTATAGCAGATATAACTCGTTCCGTTGTGCAGAACTGCTTCCAGTTGATCGTAAAGCCGTATGTTCGGAAAAGAAGCTCGAGTCGAAAAAGCTAGAGAATGCGAAAATGCATTGGCTGGAAAACGAGGAATTTGGGACATGGCTGTGGCCTGTCGACGGTAAAGATTACAAATAATATTGCCATATTATA